CAGTGGAATAAGCCCTTCCCTGGCAAGCGCAAGGGCCTGAGTTCAATCCCCAGTTCTGGAAAAAAAAAAAGTTGGCCTTTCTGCAGTTTTCACCCTGGTTTTTTTGTTTTGTATTTTTAGGGAAGGGTCTACAGGGTGTTCAGGATCTCCCTACTAGATCTGACTCATACTGATCCGCCTGCTTATAGCCTCCCAAGTGCAGGAATTAGAGGCATACGCCCCCACACCCAGTCTTAATTGCATCTCAGCACACCCCAGGTGGGGTGCCAGCATGGCAGGCCCGGGGAATCGAACTCCCGAGCTTTAATCCCCTGAGCTATTTGGCTTCACCCTGTTGACTAGATTTCAGAATGAGAGTTTTAATTACTCTTTCTGGGGATGGGGGCACATGCCTATAATCCTAGCAATCCTAGGCTGAGGCAAGAGGATTATTGCAATTTTGTGGTCATGCTGGACTACATAATGTGTTCCTGGCCAACCCAAATGAAAGAGCAAGACTCTATGTCAAAAAAACTAAAAGATGGGACCAGGGAGATGGCTCAGTGGAATAAACGCTTCCCTGGCAAGCGCAAGGGTCTGAGTTCAATCACCAGTTCCACAAAAAAAAAAAAAAAAACACTAAAACAAAGAAACTCAAAAGTCTCCATATTGATCACTGTTACACATACTCTTGTTTATTTCAGCATATTATCCCAGCAAGTCAGGCACTTTTCAGCCTTGCTTCTGCCTCTGGTAGGTCGATCGGTGACATTACTTTCCTCTTTGAAAAACCAGACATCACTTCATTCATCCATTCATCAAATGTATTTTTTTTAAATCTTATTTATTTATTTATTTATTTGGTACAGGGTCTCACTACACAGACTTCTACTGATCCTGTCTCAGCCTCCCCAGCACTGGGATTATAGGCATGTGCTGCCATGCCTGGTTTCAGTGGCTGGCTTGGTGTGGGGCCAGCACAGCATGCTGCACCGGTGATTGAACCTGGGTCCTTGTGCTTGCCAGGCAGGCGCTTAGACTGCCGAGCAATTTCCCTGACCCCCATCAAATGTATTTTAAGCATTTATAAAGTGGGAAGGATTAAGCGTAGGGCCATGAGGATATAGAAACATTTAAGCCACAGACTCTGCTGTCAGGGATCCTAAAAATCTGCTAAGGAACCTAAGACATTTGTGCATGAATATGAGCTTTAATATGCTCAATACCATCAGATCCTGCAGAGAGGCTTGGCAGCCTGAGGAGAGTATGTCAGAGGCAGCAGGGAGGGATTCAGAATTATGTGTGGTCCGTGCTGGGCCCGAGCATGGGCAGGTCGTAGGCATGTGCTGTGATGTGTGGTCCGTGCTGGGCCCAAGGATGGGCAGGTCATAGGCATGTGCTGAAATGGCCTTGTAAGCAATCAGAGGAAACAGCAAAAGTTGTAGAATCTTGTTAGTAGATTGTCTCAAAGACAGACCAACAGATAGACACCTGCCCTCTCCTGAACAGGAATACTGGAATGAACTCTGGTGAATGAGACAGAAGGGTTGTAATACAGTAGACTAATTCATCCAGAGAGAGTGGTTCTAGCTGAATTGTGAATAGCCCCAGCACCCAGCAAAGGAGTTCGGTTCAGATTTTTTCTTTTTATCAGCCAATGGGGAGCCAGTGAATGTTTTGATCTGCCACAGGGCCCTTGAGTTATATTTGAGAAATATTCACCCGTAAGGATGTGTAGCATGAAATGGAATGAGAAAATACTAAGACAAGAAAAGCAAGGTGACACAAATTAGACTACCCCAGGCTGCTGGCCAGGGCACAGAGGTGACAGGACAAGTGTCATACAGTGAATGACAGCATTGGGGTTTGTACAGGTTGGGAGGAGTTGGAGATAATGAGGCCTGAGAAACCATGGTGACCAACCAGAGGATGTTTGGAGGGGGAGAATCTGAATGAATCAAATGATTCATTTATATGGGCTTTTAAAAAGAAAAATCTATTATCTATGGTAAACAAATCTGAACTAGACCGGGGTGTCTCAACAACTACTTTCAGATACTTTGTTTTAGGAGGCCTCCCTTGTCAGGCAGCACCCCAGCCTCTGCCCTCTAATATCCCATTTGAAGATGCCAAGAATACACACACACATTTGTGACATCCAAATGTGTCTCCAGATATGCCCAGCTGTCCCCTAGGATGTAAAGTTGTCCTTGGTTAAGAACCACTCACCTACACTGCTTAGTACTCTTACTGCAGTACTCTGAGCACCATTTTTGGCTTTGGAAACCTTCACATAATGAACTTTTTTCATTCTGTTTAAGGTTAAGTCTTTTGAGAAGGAAAGGCAAACAGAGAAGCGTGTGCTGGAGTCTGAGCTTGTGGACCATGTGGTACAGAAGCTAAGGACTAAAGTCAGTGACGAACGCAGTATCAGGTAACTTTGTAAACAAGCTGAGGAGACTGGTTCCAATTACTTATATAGAACCTGTGTAAATTTATTTTAAAAGTTAAGTTGATCCCTCTGGGAAATAAAGACATGTCAGGATTACTTTAAATGAAATATTTTATTGGTTCTGAGTAATACAGCTGGAAGCCTAATTATGACTATTACATAAAACTAGTCTTATCTCTTAATATTTCTTTTTCAAAACTATTATTACAAAATACTCAAGGCTGAGTACTTTATAAAAAAGCATTAAGCTTAGAGTTAGGGAAGTTCCATCTGCTCAGCCTCTGGTGAAGCCCCGGTCACTACCTCCCAGCGGCACAGAGACGCGGAAGGAAAGCGGCTTTGGCAGAACAAGCTCGGGGGCCTGCCGTGGTGAGAGCCAGCCTTCTTACCTACAAGACCAGCTTTCACCTCTCTCAGACCCTGTCTCCGTGAATGATTATTTCCCAACAGGTCTCCCCTCCTAGAAGTTCCAGCACCTCTCACACCAGCGACCAAGCTTCTAGCACATGAACCTTTGGAAGGGATACTCGAGCTGTATCCAAACCATACCAGTAATATTTCCAAAAAAAATGTTTTATTATTGTTTTGAAAGCTCTGGGGAGCCCAAAGCTATGCTATTGGTGAATTATAGCAGCATCTTGTCCATGTAATATGAAAGCTATAATATGTTCTGGGAAAATATCTCACATATTCATGATGGGAGATAAATTGGTTCAACCCTCTGGAAATGAATGTAGCAAAGTAAGGTAAAAGTAATATAACTAAAAAGTTTCTTAAGGGCCAGGAATATAGCTCAGTGGCATAAATGCCTGCCTGGCAAGTACAAGGTCCTGAGTTCAATCCCTGGTTAAAAAAAAAAAAACCTTCTTAAAACTGACAGATATTCTACTTTCAGGGATTTATAGTAAAAATATTTCCATTGGTATAAACTAACTCACTAAATTGCTCAAGCTGAACTTGATCTTGCTGTCTTTTGGCCTCAGCCTTCCAGAGTCCTGAGATTATAGGTGTGCACCACCACAGCCAACTCCAGATTTTTACTGTGGTCATCTTTTACTTAAGCTTTCCTGTGTGTTTGCAACGCTTGCGTAGAGATATATGCTCATAATCAGATAATGCCTACAACACTCTAAATGGTTTTGGTTTGCATCAGTGATTTTCAGCCTGTAGTGATCTTCTGCCCAGGGGACATGTGGCAATATCTGGAGACATTTTTGGCTGTCATAACTTTGGGATGCTACTAGTATCTAACAGAGGCTAGGGACACTGCTACAGCACCCTTCAGCCTTTACAGAACTGATGCACACACTCCACCCCACCCAGGCCAGAGACTGAGAAGTCCTTGCTTATAGAAAGTAAACCTTCTGGCCGCCTCCTTCCTCCTGTGTCCCCAGCCCTTCCCAGGTGCCCTGGGCTTTGGTAGGTTCACTGTTGGGCTTTCTGAGGGAATGTGATATTCTTGAAATCGCCATGTCTTACATCTACAGATTCAAATCAGGCAGCATTAAAAAAAAAAAAAAAAAAAAAATACCCCTCTAAATAACTATGAGTGCAGGTGGACATAGTTAACACTTAATAAGCTAGGTGGGATTTAATTCTAGTAGGGAGGGGTTCAGAGTCTGTCCTCCATGTGAATAAGTATTTCCCTGTTTTCCCAAGATAGAGTGCTGTTGTGTTACTCTAAGACTTTAAATTAATTCACAGCATTTGAAAGAACATCCATTCACAGCTTTTGAAAGAATAACCTTATTTACCAATGTTCTCCTGAGGGCAGTCCCCAAGGCTGCTGCCACCGTGAAGGTGGGGCCGCCGCCACCGATGTTTCCAGGTATTATGAAAGGAGCGGAAGGAACACCCATTATAATTCACTGAAACGAGTTGTGTGGGGCCAGGATTTCGGGTCCCGCTGAATAAATCAGAATGTTTTCTTTATGCATTTGTTAACTTGAAATAATATCCTTTATATTTTTTTATGCTTGCTTTTGGCCAGAAGCATAACTAAGTACAGTTTTTGTTGTTTTTCTTTTTTCCTCCCACTAACAACCAGAGAGGAGTGTGTTTTTATATTCAGTTGAAAAAAGTGACTCATTTTATGTGGAACTTACTTTGAGTTATCTATGTTGCTTTTGCCTTATTGACTGTTTCCTAATTATATTTTGTTTGTTTTTAGAGAAGCTTCTGATAATCTTGCAGTGCAAAATCTGAAGGGGTCATTTTCTAATGCTTCAGGTATAATTACTAATTGTAATTTGAACCTAATAATGCTTTTGTGTGTTTGCCTGAAGCACTTACAGCCATAGAGAATTATTTATTACTTAGAAATATCTTCTAAACATGCATACAATGTATTATACCACCATGGAATTAACCTATGCTTTGAAACCCACATGCTAGGGGGCTGGGGAGATGGCTCAGTGGAATAAGCGCTTCCCTGGCAAGCGCAAGGGCCGGAGTTCAATCCCTGGTTCCGGGGGGAAAAAATGAAACCCACATCCTAGAACATGATAAAACAACCAGGGTTTGGGTGACTCTTTTGATCCTGTTATAGCTCTGTCTTACTGTCTACAAGTAGCTTAATATTTCTTCAGCTTGGGGGGGCCAGAGAGATAGCTCAGTAAATAAGCGCTTCCTTGGCAAGTGCAAGGGCCTGAGTTCAATCCCTGGTTCCGCAGAAAAGTACCCCCCACACACATACAGAGGACTAAAATATTTTGAAATTCCTTGGAGAAAGACAGTACATACTTTTTTTTGTTTTCATGAGATAGTTATCACCTCCATCAACCCTACTGAAGGAATGTTCCAGTAGAGCCCATGAGAAGCCATATTTGGCTTTTAACAAACTTAGGTCTTTCATTTCTGGGAAAACTAACTTCATGTATTAGAACTTAGAAGCTACTAAGTTCAGTTTCGTGAGGTTTGGAGGTTCATGTTGTCTCACTGTATCATTCCTACTTGAGGGTGCTGGGGTGCTAGGCTTCTTCTCATCAAGTTCAGCTAGTTGCAGAGACAGAAACAAGACACAGGCGCAGGCTAACCATGGGCTCCCATGACAGGATGTCTGCTAATAAACTGCCATTTCCTATAGTATGTTCTAGAAACTGAGCCCAGAGAAACCCTTAAATCTTGAAACTCTCTTTGTCCCAGGTCTGTTTGAAATCCACGGAGCAACAGTTGTTCCCATTGTGAGTGTGGTAGCCCCGGAGAAGCTGTCAGCCAGCACAAGGCGGCGGTATGAAGTTCAGGTACACTGGGTCAGGGTGACCAGCTTCCTGATGGGAGCTACGAGGAAAAAATGTGGTAACAGAAAGGAAGAGACATGGAATCTCCTCCCTAACCTTTTATCAGCACACAGCATCACTCGGGCGCCAGGATTCAGCAGCCCCCCTGTCCTCTTAAAGAGGCATCAGCTGTTGTCAGAATGGCCACATCTGAACAGAACCTTTCCTCTTGGGGAGCTGGGGTTGGTTCACCTTTGTTCTAAATAAGAAAGCACTAGAATCAATGGCAAGGCGTGACACAGTGTCTCACTGCGTACTTTTTTGGTGCCTGCCACACTGGATGCTGTGCTGCCAGCTGTGGAAAAGGCACATCTCAGTCTTCAGAGGGCTCCTGACCTTGGAAGCACACACAGTATATAGTGAGAAGAGAAGGAAATGAGCAGTCGGATGCCACGCTGGCTGTCTGGGATGTGAGTGTTAGTGTGCTGTGGACATTTGGGAGAGTGTTAGGGTAACATTCATGATTCAGAAATGTAATTAGACTGAAATACAAAGATCAAGTTCATGTTTGTAAGCTCTCTCAACTGTTTCTCAAGATTTTCTGGGCACTCATTTCTCCTGACCCCTACTGCCACCATCACCTGTCGTATTTGTTTCACGTCCTCATTGCTATCACCTTCATTTTTTCAAAAATTCAGCTTAATCCTAAAATCTATCTGCTTCTACTTATTAGGTATCACTTCAAAATTTAAAAGGACTTGGAGTTTAGCTCAGTGGTAAATACTTGCTAGCATGCACAAGATCCTGGGTTCTATCCCTAGGGAAACACTTCCTCTATCCCCACCCCACCAAATTTTTAAAAACTAAGTGACACTGGGCAGGGTGGATCATGCCTACATAAGGCCAGCACTTTGGAAAGCTGAGGCAGGAGGATCACAAATTCAAACCCTGACTAGACAACTCAGCAAGAACCTGTTTCAGAATAAAAGAGACTGGTGAAGTAGCTCAGAGTGGAGGCCTTGGGTTCCAACCCCAGGACTGAAAAGGAGGGAAAAAGACCCTAAGCGTGAAGAGGAGGGACTTCCTAAACAAGGCAGGTTGTAAAGTCTTATTTCCCAGAGATTGTTGCTGCTAGACGCTCCTTTCTGCAGTGGACCAAGATCAACCTTTAGCTACTGTTTGGAATCCTTTTTAGGCCTTGTTTGTCATACTGATTGTTTTCTGGAACACGAAATAAGATGGCTTGGTTTAACATGTTCTGAATTCCATTTTCTTATTAGGTACAAACCCGACTTCAGACTACCCTTGCCAACTTACATCAGAAAAGCAGTGAGATTGAAATTTTGGCTGTAAGTTGCTTTCTTTAACATTTTGAAGTTGGCTCATGTCACTGTCTAGTGTGCCTTCCAAGTTCAGGGCTCCTCGGCGCAAGGTCAGCCATATTTGGATGCAAACCTTGTTACCGCTCTGGCTAACACAGTTGGAACCTGTGAGGAACTGGGGAGAAATGGATGGTACTGAGGCCCATCATGTTAAGCTAAATAAGCCAGACTCAGAAAGACTAGTTTTGCTAATATGTGGAATCTTAAAAAAAATGACATGAAAGTAGAAAACACACTCTGTTAGACAGAATCAGGGAAAGCAAATGTACTGGAGAGTAATAAGGGGATGGATACAATTAAAATACTTCCTATGATGTATGAAAATGCTACTAAAACCCAATGGTTTATAAAGTTGATAAGCACTAATTAAAAACATTCTTTAAAAAACGCTAGAGAAAAAAAAAAAAACGCTAGGGAGGGGACCAAAGACATAGCTCAGTGGTGGGCACCTGCCTGGCAAGCCCAAGGTCCTGAGTTCAATTCCTGGTACCAAAAAAAAAAAAAAAAAAAAAAAACACAACAAAAACTTAGCTCTTCTTACCCAAGTAAGTTGCCTTAACATGCCAAAGTCTGATGCTGTTGAAAAAAAAAAAGAACTAGGAAGAAAACTAAAAGATTGTGTTTGTTGTTTCTCTTGCCTCCTCTTAAAGATAGAGGCAGGAAGGGAATAAAAGCCAGACTTGCACAAGGGCATGCAGTTAGCAGTGTAGACAGGGTGGTGTAGACAGGTCTGGGAGTAGCTTCCGAGGCCTGTTAGCTCCCCAATGCTGAGCTCCCTGCCACTGCATTAAGTCTGCTTCATGGCACAGTCGTATTGCTCACTGCCAGCCCCAAGTGACATCCTGGTCCCAAGTCAGTATGTGCCACGTAAGCCTTCTCTGATGCGCATTTCCATGTATTAACAGGTGGATCTACCCAAGGAAACAATCGTACAATTTTTATCACTAGAGGTAAGCAGTATGAACCATTCTGCACTGTGGTCTTTGCTGTTAATTTGCCTAAAGACAACTGAAAAGAGTGCTCCCCCGCCGCCCCCCGAACCAGGGATGGAACTCAAGCCCTTGCGCTTGCCAGGGAAGCACTTACTCTACTGAGCCATCTCCCCGGCCCTAGTATTACATATTTTTAGTGATATTATCTTGGAGTACTAAAAATTTAGTGATGTTACCCCTTTTGTGTTTTATATATCTGTATTTTTTGTTTTGTGGTAATGGGGATGGAACTCAGGATCCTGCGCTTGCCAGGCAAGCACTTATTCTACTGAGCTGTCTCCCCAGCCCTGTATATATATTTTTAATTCAAGGTCACCCAGCTAGTTAAGTACAGTCAGGATTTGAACCTCAAACAGACTAGCACAATGTGTTCTTAGCATTGTTCTTTCTTACATAAACCTTCATCTCACCTAGGGAAACTTATCTGAAGATATACAGAAGTTACTTTTGGGGCTGGGGAGATGGCTTAGTGGAATAAGCGCTTCCCTGGCAAGTGCAAGGGCCTGAGTTCGATCCCCGGTTTGGCAAAAATAAAATAAAATAAAATGTTGTCTGCCTTTTGGGCGGGGGAGATAGCTCAGTAGAATAAACGCTTGCCTCAGTAGAATAAATGCTTAGGCAAGCACAAGGGCCTGAGTTCAATCCCCAGTTCTGCAAAAAATATAAATAAATAAATTTTTTTTTAAAAGTTACTTCTGTTGAAATTTAGATCCTTGGTGTTTTTACAGTTGTACATATCTTTAGTATCAGATAGCCTAAATAAGAACATTTAAAATTTTGAAGTTACCTCTCCTAGTAAGAATACCAAAGATTAGGGGCTAGGGAGATGGCTCAGTGGAATAAGTGCTTCACTGGCAAGCGCAAGGGCCCGAGTTCAATCCCCAGTTCTGCCAAAAAAAGAATACCGAAGATTTAGGACCGGGAATATAGCTTAGCTGCGTAAGCACCTGCCTGGCAAGCGCAAGGTCCTGAGTTCTATCCCTGGTACCGAGAAAAAAAAAAACAACGAAGATTGACTTCATATTACATTTTGTCTTGCTCTCACAAGTAGCATATACCACTGTACTGCTGCTTTGCTCATCTGTGGTACAGTCAAATGGATACACATGGGAGGCAAGAGTTCCTTATATAAAGTGAAGAGCAGGCAGAAATCACCAATCTAAAGTCACACCAGAGCTGTGGCATCTAGCATCTACTTAGGAACCTGTCTTGATTTAAAGAAAATAAATGCTTTAAAGAAAAAGCCCCAGCAGCATCCTCTTGGTCTCTCTCCCTAAGAAGGACCCTTCTGCTGTACTTGAAGACAACATCAGCACTTTATCAGTGACCAAGCAAAGGCCAGGTAATAAGCCCTTCTGCCCTGTTAAGTCCTATCTGCTTTTTCCTAGTGGGATGCTGATGAACACGCATTTAACACAACTGTGAAGCAGCTGCTGTCGCGCCTGCCGAAGCAAAGATACCTCAAATTAGTGTGCGATGAAATTTATAACATCAAAGTTGAAAAAAAGTAAGCTATCACTTAAGCACAGCAGGTTTCACATGGTTAAAACTAAGGCGCTTCAGACTGACACTGTCTTCCTAGTCCTGTTGCCTTGATTGCTGATAAGCTGTTAGAATTGCAGCTGGCCACAAATCTTACCTGGTTTGCAAATCAGTGTGGACACTCAATAAACGTGGTGCAGCAGGAGCTCTCCCAATTATAATTCTGCTCACCTAGTAATTTCTCAAAACATAATGAAATCAAGTAACTGGGCCTGCATTGCTTCACATCCTCTTTTGTCAGTGTCTCTCTGTCCCGTCATTCCAATCTGGGAATAGGGTGGCCTGTGAGGTCAGCAGGTGTGCTCGTTAGGCCTGTCTTTGCAGACCTTTGCCCATCTAAGCTTCTGCAAAACTTACTTTAGGCTTAGCTGTCCATTTTGTTTCTAATTAAACACAGCTCCTACACTTGGGTTCTAAAGATATTTAGTCTGTTCTTCACCCACTCATTGAGCTCTCCCTTTGTTTTGCAGGGTGTCTGTGCTGTTCCTGTATAGCTACAAAGACGACTACTACAGAATCTTATTTTAACTCCCAAGGAACTGTCTTGATGATGCTCTTCAGGCAGGGCCTTATGCCAAAATGTGATGTATATTCAGTCACTTTAACCCTAAGCAGCTGTCCTACAAAGCTGAGCTTTGTAAGTTTTTCAGTGTAATATATTATAGATTTATCTTTTTGGATATAATAAATGTTTTCATATATTTGCTTTTTAATTATAATCTGTAAACAATCAAGTCTTAGAGCTGGAACACAAGAAAACAGCCTTGTGCTTGCCTTGACCATGATGACGAAAGCATATGAAACTGACCTTGGGGCTGGTGAGATGGCTCAGTGGTCTAAAGCACCTATTTAGAACAAGCTTAACAAAGCACAGGGACCGCGGTTCGATCCCCCAGCACCACATGCCAGCCAGCCCCGCCCCCTGGTGGGCTGAGCTGGCCACACACACACACA